CGGCTACGGAAAGAGACTTTACCTACTTGTTTTTGGAGGCATTGTTGGAAGAGAAGGGTGTTGTCAGAGTAGGGAGCTGTGGGAGGGATCACGAAAAATCGGTCCCATTTGGCTGCACTGAAGAGAGTATTCAAGATTGTTTTAGAGATAGGGGTGGTAGAAGGGCGAGGGCGTGACGAGATGGAGTAGTGTTGATGGAGGTAGTGTTATGGAGAGGTGGGCTATAAGGCTGTAAGGTATTAATAAGGGAGGATGGGGTGGTTGATGTTGGAGGTTGTGGGGGTAGAGGTGTTGAAGTTGAGCATGCTGGGAGAGTGGAAATGTTCCTTGAGGGTTGATTGTTGGCTACTGTACTAGTAGGCATTGGTGAAGGGGTAGTTATTGCAGTGTTCGGAGCCGTGGTCAAAGGAGAGCCTGGGGTCGGGGAATCGGGTGGGTTTACTTCGTTGGGGCTATTTGATAAAGGGGCAAGCCTCATTGCCCCTAACAGTGGGGATATATTTTCATTACTGGCCATGGGAAGCCTGGATTATGTTGGGGATAAAACAGTCCACCCCTCAGGGTCCCCTTGAGGGGTAAGGGCTAGATAACTAAATCAGGGGAATACCGTGCCCATGGCTCCCTCAGGCCGTTCAGGACTGGCACAAAGTCAGCCTTTCATCCTTTCAGCACGGCTCTCACACCTTAGGAGGTGGATAGCAGAAGGGTTTGGTGAAGGGACAGAAACAAAAGTGGGAAGGGAAAAAAAAGACCATGCATAATTAGTTGAGTCGAGGGCTGAGTCCCAAGGTTGGGGAGTTCCCCATCATTGGGTCCCAGTCTCCGCCTCCTAAACCCCCCCACGACAACAACGGGCAAGGGATTGGGGGGGTCATCATCTTAAAATAAGAGTATAAAACAAGAACCAAGAATGACGACAGAAATAGGAACAAAATGGAGACATCTTATAAACATATATATTTTAATTCTCAATAACAAATCTTGTACCCATACTTTCAACCTATAACAATATGATTGTGGTTATTACAGAGAATGACATACACAAAGGATGTAATACAGCGACCTTGATATCTTTATATATACACTTGTGAGGTGGAGATGACATTATATAAAATAAGAGACGAAAAGGAACAATCTACAGTATGTATGGTCTTTGCATGCACACGTGATAATTCCTGCCTAGCTGAATTTTCTGGTAACACTGGCCTCAGCTACTCATTGTTACCAATTTCACTACATAATTTGAGTGAAGCTTTATATATATATATATAGTGTATCTTTGTAATAAAGTTTTAACATATATATGTGTATATACAGATAACAAAACTCGGATATTTCTCCACTAAGTGGATCCAGGTTCCCCAACGACAGTCTTTGCTATAATGCATTTCTCGGCATACTCACCACCACCTATTCCTCCGCCCTCGCCTTCCCTTCCTTTTCCTGGGCCATGCGCTCGCCCCGGCCCCTGGGGCCTCGTAAACCTCCGGGTATTCCGAAGGACTCCACGCAGTGCTCCAGCCCAGTCCTCCCAGGCGCTCTCCCAGGGCTCGGCGGGTATTGATCAGGTGGTGGCGCTCGTGAGGGTCCATGAAGTCCCCGCCGGAGTCGCCGTCAAGGGCCCCTGCGACGTCACTCGTGTCCTGCCAGCGCGGAGGCCTCGCCCACCAGCAGGCGGGGGAGTAGCTGGTCTCCGAGCTGTAGCCCGAGGACACGCTTCCAGGAGTGTCTGACAACGTTACCATGGGCAGGGAGTCCGTGAGAGCTACTGTAGGGAAGGTGTCCGCCAAAGTCCCAGCAAGGAAGGGGCTTTCCCTGGCTGTCGCAGGGAAGGAGTCTGCTAAAGCCCTTCCTTGAAAGACGTCTCTTGCGGTCTCAGGATGTATACTTTCAAAGACTCCCTCTACCAGGCGGTCTGTCCTGGCCCCAGCATCTGGAGTATCCTTCAGGGACTCAGCAGGGGACTGGTTTCTTCCGGGGAAGTGATCTGCCACAACGAGGTCTGTCAGTGGATCTTCCTTGCACTCATTTTCTCGCGCATTAACTTTACTTCCAACACAAGGATCAGGATAGAGAATGGCCTGAGATCCACTCAAAGCTACAGGGTTACCCGAGTTCTCCATCTTTTTTGTAAGAATACACTGGTTCTGTTTTTTGTTGTCAGATGCTCCGTTTAAATTGCTTAAGCCTTGCCACTCGCCAAAAACGAGGTTTTCCATCTTCAGAGAAATATCATACTCAGCCTCCTGTGTATCTGGTGAGGGAACTCCCTCGAGAAGGTCTACTTCCATGCAAGGTTCACCGACATTTCCAGGCGTGTTAATGCAACAGAAGGCAGCTTCCACATCCACATACCGCACCGGTGTTGTGAGGCTGGTTGTGATCCCTATACTTGAAGAGGACATCAGAGAGACCTTGACAGTTGGTGATGCAGAAGCACCTGGAACGCCATTTTCATCCCCTGGGGAGAAAGGGACATTATCACTGATACTTTCAGAAGTCCCCATCACATCAGGGCAAACGGCTTCTAAGTCAACTCTTCGTACTGGACTTGTCAGGCTGATGACAAGGTCGATTCCTTTGGCAGACCTACAGTGGAGCTCGCACAGGGCGTCGGCGCAGGGCTGGCGAGAGTTCAGATGGCACTTGGGGCCGCGAGGGCTTTCGTGGTCAGGAGTTAGGGCATTAAGCACCGTATCAGTGGATGCATCGCTAGGGGACATGGGCGGACTTTGAGGCAGGCCAAGACCGGGAGCAGGCGAGGAAAGCATGTCTGTGCAGAGCGCGGGAGGATTAGGGAACCGGTCAGCTGAAGCACAGGCTGAGGCAGAGAGCACTTCTGAGGAACTGAGGCTGGAGTCCGACCTCTGAGTGTCATCTTGCTTACACAACTTTTCGGGGCGGTTTGGTTCTGCTGGATCATTGGCATTCCAGAGAGCTTTCTCACATTCTAACAAAGGTTCAGGGTAGGACACAAGGCCGTTTGGACCTGACGGCTGCGAGGGTATGGAACTACTAGCTGGGATCTGAAATGAGAGAAGGAAGCTACAAGGAACTGATTGCTACATGACAGATACAGTACGGAGATGGACATGAACAAACTAATCTTACTTACAATATACACACGCAATATGAACAAGTACATACAGGAACAGGCCATAATGTCAGACATTTCTAAATGGGAGGACCAGGCAATGCACTGAGTAAGCGAGGGGGTGGGGGAATTTAGAAAAGCGAATCGGAATTGGCATCCTGTGATTTACACCCAAGCGCATGATTGTGCACTCAGTCAGGGCTACATGATCCTCCACAGCCCGCTTCAATAACCTCATCTCTGCATGGCCTTTGTTTACACGAACCCCCTTCCATCACCCCTTTCTCTTCCCTCCATCAGCCTACCACTGAAGATGTTAGAACACGTACTGTCTTCTTAACATCTCCTCCTGCTGTCTGTTTGATTACTGTCGTGGCTGCCTTCAAGGTCTCTGCCGCCCACTCCTGCAGAAGCAAAAGAGTCATGAGTAGTCCCCTTGACCAAGCAGAAGCAGCAGAAGCAGCAGAAGCAGCACCCCCTTCACTATTGCCCCTGACAACTGCAAGCACACATAAGCATTCTTCTGTTTCACGATTCCGAAGCACAAACTTTACGCTGGTATATCCTGGTCTAACCTGTGCGCGGGACGCTATCCTGCTCTCCGGCAGTTCCGCCACCTTGCTCCACATCTCACCAGGGGCGTTGCAGCCATATTCCAGGGCTTGGTGAATGGGCGTCAGTCTTGACTGGAGGTTGTCGTAGAGGGCGTGGGCAGTGCCGGTGATAGACGCTGGAACTACGGCAGACATTTGCTCCGCAGACTTTGCGCCCAAAGTTGAAAGGGCACCGAGAGTGGTGAATACCACGCCCATGCTAACCTGGAGCCCTCTGTGAGCAAGTTCCCATCCCTCATTTGCAACTCCTTGGCCTGCCACAAGGCCCCTCTTCATTACTTTCTGCGTAATCCCTACACCACTAATCATTAGGTTCTGTGTTAATCTAACACCACCCATTACCATGCTCTGTGCTGAGTTTTTCCCTTCTACCACCATATACTGTGTTGTCTTAACACTTTCCTTTACCATTTTCTGCGCTGTGTATATGCTACCCTTCATCAGATTCTGTGCCGTGTTCACACTGCCCCTTACTAGACTCTGTGACACGTCGATGGTTCCTTTCATCACAGTCTGTGTTTTGTGAACGCCATCCTTTGCAAGACTCTGTGTAGCACTGACACTACCCTTAACAAGCCTAAGTGTAATGCTAACACTAGTCATGACCAAACTCTGTGTTGTATTCATACCACCTACCACCAAGCTCTGTACGCTGTTCGCGCTACCCACTGCCCGGGTCACTGCACTGTAAGCGCTTCCCACGACCATCCCATGAAGAGAAGCTACATTACCCCATACAATGTCTCGCGTCTTCCCTATGCCCTTAACAACCAGATTCTGGGTGGTGCAGAGGCCAGCTTTGCCAGCATTGAGTGTTACGCTGACGCCACCCATCATCAGCTGGCCTCCTGACATACTACTGACATCCGAGTACCAGCTAAGAAGTGACCTCCGACCCAAGTCCACCTGCAATAAACACGACCCGCATTAGAATGTGTGTGTGGTGGCATGCGGTGTGGAACGGTCTTCCCATTAAGTCATCCAATGTCTTTTTTTCTTACTTCACACAGGGTTTTCAAACGAATATGTAATATAAAGGTAATTACACTACCCGTCAACTCCTCCATGACAGAATCCAACATGAACTTGGTGAGAACTTGTACTAAGTTTTTACAAGGCTTACCACCTACAAGAAAATGGAACCTGGAAATAGTTAGATCATAATATCCTTTTATTATCAAACCCTCAGAACAGACCAAAGCTAAACTATTAAATCATGTAGGGCTACTTGTACAAAGGAAAGGTTTTCTTGGAAATGTTGCAACAATAAGTGAACCAATTCTTCAGTATTTCTATTGGTCCCACATCTCAGATGACATAATGACACTACTCTGCAAGAAAATTGTATACTGGTATGAATGATCACGCATTGCAGAAACGTCCGTCAACATCGCAGACCTTGTATATCAGTGACATGTGAATTTTCATTATCAGTTGGACACAGGTTAATGGCAGTTATTATACATATTGCATTGCCTATTATAACTGGTGTTTATTATCTATTCCCTTATACACAAATACACAGAACCTCATCATGAGTACAATTATGAAATAAAAACCTTTAAAAGCTGCGTTCAAAAAAGTCAAAAGGAAAAACAAGGAGGAAAACAAGAAAAAAACAACAACAAAGGCCGCTTTGTTTTTGTCCCGTTAAATCTCAGCTAATCGTAACTGAACTTCCCAAGCACCAACATTTCCTTCTACACTAATACTTGCATAGTACCCTAAGATACTGAACACAATACTGATAAAACAAGAAAGCGGGATTTGTGACAAGGAAACTTTTTATATAACGAAGACTAAGCAGATATTTCAAATACACCAACATCAATACTTTTAAGAGACAAAAACGAAATAAAATAAAATAAAAAAAAGCTGCCTTGATTTACCAGTCGCTGGACGGTGGAGACAACATCCAGGTCATCGGCATCAGGATCGTTCAAAATCATGCGATTGGCTGAGCGGACCAACCGGCGTCGAACCCTATTGGCCAGGGCGGTTCCCTTGTTAGCCAATCCGCCGTCGCGCTCATCTGTGGCACAAGAAAGAGAGATTTTGAATCTGGTCCACAACGACTGGCTTCCTTGCCGGTCTTTTCGCAATATGCTGGGGGGTAGGGGTTGTGGCGGTGCGCGGGTTATTATGGAAGATAGTGTGTGTGGGGGGGGGGGGGGGTACCAGCCAGCTTCATTATTATCAACTTTTGAAATGTGTAGTTTATCGCTGGTTCTATGATTAATGTATCATACTCAGAGAATGAAGAAATAATAATAAAGTTTGCTGTATTTATTATCAATTGTTTTAATACTGCTTGGGATCATGGCGAACGATGCTATATGAAAAGAGGAAATGTCCATAATAGTAAGGGAACCACTGTTTTAAACAGTACCGGGAGGGTTTTGATGCAAGACAGGGAAGATTGCAAACACCAATATACAAAATGCATACGATATATCAAATGGTGATGCGAAAAAACAGTGATTAAATTTTGCTAGACGAATCATAGTTGATGGTATAAAATGAATGGATAACATATCAAACACTTAAAAAAATCAATACTGTAACAAATTTGAAAAAAATCCTTATCCCCTCTAGACAGTCAACTAGCCAATGGTACGTCAGGACGATTTTGCCAAAGTCTGTGTACTCTGCCCTCACAAGGAAATGGGTGGCATTTTTTCATTGTTGCAGTTCACCTGATAGATATTTTTCTCCTTGTGTAACAGTTAAGGAGTGCCTGGACGGATTAAACTCTAAAGGTTTTATAATGCTGAATTTACAACAAAAAAGTCCAGTTTCACAAAAAGACTATCATAAAATACTTTTATGATGAATAAGTTGTATTTTGATGACTGTAGCTGATAATGACCCTCCAAAATGTAGCAATGCCGCAGTTATGCCGTATTCACTGAGAATATTATTGCAGAATACTAATCCATCTTATATAGAGGTCTAAACTATTGTTTTCATGTACTTAGTGTACTTCATTGCCCTTCCCTTTATTTCATTAGTATTTAGATAAAATCAATTAAAAGATTCATTGCACTGCATTAACAATAATAAATGTTACTCTTGTCTCAATTCTCCTTCCCTTCTTTAATCTAAAAGATCATCCTCAGTGGTGACATATCAACGGGTTACCAGTTTCCTACTTATCATAGCATATTGTGACTGACATGATTACTGATATTGCTAACGTCATGATAAAGCCATTTTTTTCGTAATCATATCTAACTATTCACATGGAGTGCTTCGGTCCTGAGCGAAGGTAAACAACAGGGAGACTGACAAGACCAACTAGTCGATGACAACCTTTAATAGCGGAGGGATTGTGCTTTGAGAATGTGAAACCTAGTATTGATAATTTCCGCTAAGTTTAACGCTGTTATCAGACAAAGTACCCCGATCTACAGTCTTCTTTGCCTATCTGTCGAACTAGAATCCTCTTTAGATAGCATAACTGGAATAAAGGATCCAATTGTGTTTTAGCATCTGAAGAGTCTTGAAGTGATCCAAACTGGTTACAATGTCTGAAGGGGGTTCTAACCCGACTCGAAATGGCTTAGTTTCGCGTTTTCTTTCCTACTGTAGCAAAGACCTCTCTCTCTCTCTCTCTCTCTCTCTCTCTCTCTCTCTCTCTCTCTCTCTCACCCGTGTCGTGCAGGTCCCCCTCCTCGGCTGGGGCGTAGGTGTCGATTATCGAGTGCCCCGTGTCGAGCAGTCGGTCAGCCACGCACACTGCCAGATCCACTGCCTTGCGTCCGCCCTTGGTGTCCGCTACGCAGTCGACCTGGAATGATGAGGGTCAGAATGATCTCCGTAATTGGCAGTGAATTTACCACATGAAAGTTGTATTAACTTACTGTGCAACTATACGAAAGCATTAGTTATCTGTATTAATGAATATACTATATGGATAGAATAAGAAGTGTACAGAACAAAAGTAATGGAATCATCATGTTTACTTTAAGAATAAAAATCGGAAGAAACGCAATTTTTTTTTTTTTTTTTTTTTTTTTTTTTTTTTTTTTACGGAGGAAAAAAAATCAGATTAAATATCACAGATGCAACACTCCAGAAAATTTACTAGCCAGAAAATTTACTAGCTAGAAAAAATAGTAATTTTTAAGAAACGATAGCGATGATAGGTGGTTCTCGGCTAGTTCAAAGCCAAAATGCTGCACAAATACAGTTATATTTCTCACTACTATGGTAATTAAAGCAGCCCAGCCACCTTATTCAACTAGACTCAACCAACAAGCTACCACCACCGTAACCCCCCCCCCCTTAAAAAAAAAAAAAAAAAAAAAAAAAAAAAAAAAAACGAAACTAAACAGAAATATCCTCGTTCCAACAACTTCACTACACTAACCACCAAACCCCCTTGAGTTCCCCCTCTCCCCCTCCTCCCCTCCCCCCCTTCCCTGCTTTAGGGACACCACCACATCAGCCAGAAATCCACGGCCAGACTCACGGTGTGGGTGGCGCGGGTGGTGAGGGCGGCAGTGAGGGTGGGCGGCGGGGCGGCGAGTTCCCCTGCAAGGGCGCCCAGCAGAAGGTGGCGCGTCGTGGTGACGATCTAGGTGTGAATTTCAAGGCATTAGTTTGCAGATGATGACAGGAGGAGGAGGATGGTAATAACAATAATAATAATAATGGCAATAATAATAACTATAATATAAGAAACATTAGCAATAATAACTATAACAAAAGAAACAATAACAATAACAATAAAAGAAACAGTAACAATAACTATAACAAAAGAAACAATAACAATGATATCTATAACAAAAGAAATATTAATAATAATAACTATAACAATAAACGACATTAATAATAATTACAAAAAACAATAACCTTAGTAAAAATAATAAATGCTATAATAATAACAATAACAATAATAACAATTCTAATATTAACAATAACCTAAGTTTTTTAGAAGTCAAGTTGAAGCAAACTCAGTTAGGAAGAACTGAAGGGATATTTCGGAAGCCGTTACAGAAAGGTGTCTAGCAATGTCGAAGGCGGAGCAACATTTGCAACATTGTGTATTGCATGGCGTGTTAAGAACATGAAGTGCGCGTGCATTTGACATACGCGATTTTTTATGTTAATACCTGTGGTTAATAAAAACTTAGAAAGCCTGGTATTTTTTAACTCAATATCTGATAATAATCTTGTATGTTTTTTTTTCTATCAGTTCATTGTTTGTCGTTATTTTGTTTATTTTATGCCTTATTTATCCTTCGCTGTCTCCCATTCTCTCGTTCTCCCTTAATTCCCTCTTTCCTTCAGTCTTCTTTATTTCCCTTCTTTAATTTGGCTTCGGTTTCCTCATTCATTTATCTTCAATTCTTTGTTTCTATCCTTCATTTATTATATTTAATCTGTTCCCCTTTACCGTTTCTTTCCATGGCCTCTTTTCCTTCTTTCCCTTCCTCCTCCCTCCATGCATTCTCTTCCCTTCCTTCCACTTTTATTATTATACCTTCTCCCTTTCTTCCATTCTCCGTTCTCCTTTCCCTTTCTTCCATTCTCCGTTCTCCTTTCCCTTCCTCCTTTCTCTCATCCCTTCGTCTTCGCTCTCCTCTTTCCTCCTCCTCCTTCCTCTTTTACACCTCTCTCTCTCTCTCTCTCATTATTTCTTTTCATTCCTCCTTTCCTCCCACACATCTCCCATTTCCCTCTATTCACCCCCCCCCCATTACCCATTCTTCCTCTTCCTTATCTTTTATCTCCAATCTCTCCCTCCTATTCATCCACTGTTTTTCCGTTCTCCCTATCCATCTCTCTTTCACCTCTCTCATTTCTTCTCCATTTCCTCCTCTCCTCTCCTCTCCATCTTTCCCAACTCTTTTCCGTCCCCCTTTATCATCCTTCCCTCTCTCTTCCCCTCCTTCCCATCCCCCCCCCATCTTATCCCTTCTCCCTCTCCCTCCGCCCCTTTCTCCTCCTCCTTTCCTCCTTTCCTCCTTCCCTCCCTTCCCCATTCTCACTCTCCCCCTTCTTCCCCCCACTTCCATTCCCCCTCCTTCCTCCTCCCTTCCCTCCCTCCCCCCACCCCCCTTTCCCATTTCCTCTCACCTCATTGGTCGGCTTGGTAATGATGGGCGCGGCCTGTTCCACTCGGTCCAGTCCTCGGCACGCCCACTTGTCCACGGTATCCCAGCCCACAACGCGGTCCACTATGGGCGTCGCGAGAGGCAGGGCGGTGGAGGCAGCCGCCCGCACGCCCATCTCGGCCGTACGCAGGACGACGCCCACGTACTGGTGCTTGTCCTGCGGGCGTGAGAGTGGATTAGTGAGTGGGAGGAGTAAGGGAACAAATGAACGAGTGAGCAAAAGAACAAATGAACAAATGAACAAGTGTACAAGTGAGCGAGTGAACAAGAGAACAAGTGTACAAGTGAGCGAGTGAACGAGTGTACAAGTGAGCGAGTGAAGAAATGTGCAAGTGAGCAAGTGAACGAGTGTACAAGTGAGCGAGTAAGCAAGTTAGTGCACCAACTGATCAATATGTAGGTGCAACAGCCTATACAAATGTGCGTGCAATTGCAAGAGTATCTCCTTGCATGATCCCAAGTCCGGTCTCCTTCCCGATTACCAGTATAATGAATCGCCAGTTTCGACTCTCACCCGAAACACACACGCCACTTACCCGTACCGGTGTGTGTTTCGGATCCACGAGTCGAGACGGTTCACGAAACTGGCCGTTCAACATACTGAGTAACGATAAGTGACAAGGGAGAGTAGACGATTGCAACACTTTCAACAGAAATCACAAATGTATTTTTTTTTAAACACATACCCTCCCCCCCCCACCCTTTCCCCTTCATTATTCCACGCCCTCCCCCCCCTCTTCTCCCTTCTCTCTCCTCCCACCACGAGCTGGGGATCCCCCCCTCCCCGCCTTACCTTGGCCGTGACGTAGGCAGTGAAGGCCAAATTACAGGCGTCATTGAGTGCCGGCAGAGCGAGCACACGGTTAAAGAAAGCGGGGTTGTCGCCATCGCCGAAGGTCATGTGATCGGAGGTCATGTCACGACCCACGTCCTGGCAGTCGGGAGCCATCTCGCGGTCGCTTCTCTCTCTCTCTTCTCTTTCTTCTCTCTCTTTTCTTTCTCTTCTCTTTCTTTTCTCTCTCTTCGCTCTTCTCCTGCGATCCGTTTTGTTGAGTGTTTTTTCACCTATCTTTGCAAATTCGGT